ATAGGTGTATCACTATGAGTCCAATCTAGTGGTGAGACCCTGAACACCCTGTAGACCCTTCCCTAAAATACAAAAAGTGAAAAAGAAATTGACAGTATCACAATCTCATATTTTGTGGAACAAAAGGTGCATTGTCTCACAAACAGCAAATTTAGGCGGATATGGTGGAATACACCCATAATCCCAGCACTCTCTAAAGCAGAGGATGAACCTTTTAGAGACCAAGTGCCCAGACCACAACACAAAACCCACTTAGTTATTCTAAAGTGCCACTACCACAATTAAACCTGAATACTGAGTTTTTTAAATTATTATTTTTTTAATTTTATTTATATGTGTGTGGGTGTGTGTGTGTGTGGGTGTGGCCAGCTCAGCCCACCAGGGGGCGGTGCTGGCTGGCATGTGGTGCTGGGAGATTGAACAGCGGTCCCTGTGCTTTGCTAAGCTTGTTCTAAGTAGGTGCTTTAGACCACTGAGCCATCTCACCAGCCCCCTGAGTTTTTAGGTTAAGAAAAAACAATTGTTAGCCAATGGTTGGCTGCGGAAGCAACTTTGCTTGTGTGCCAACAGAGAAGGGTCTGTGCCCACTGCAGTACTCGTGCCATAAGCTCACCACCGCTGCTCTAGAGGCTGAGGCAGGAGGGGTGCCATGTGGGACTCAAAGCTCACAGTGATCCTCCTACGTCAGCCTCCCTCATGCTGTGATTTCAGATATGTAGTGTCATGCCTGGTATAAACAGCTTTAAAAATAGGATTTTTCTTTCCCTAAAAACCTCTTTCTGTTTCCCATTTCAGTAAAAGTTAGCTTCATACATCCAGTTATTCAAGTTGGAAAACAGAAGGGTGTTCTTGACACTCCTTACTTCTATAATCAAAATAATCTGGGGCTGGGGCAATAGCTCAGTAGAATAAGCACTTGCCTGGCAAGCACAAGGGCCTGAGTTCAATCCCCGGTTCCACAAAAAAAAAAAAAAAAAAAATCTCCCAAGTAACTCTTCAAAATTGCTTCTTGAATCAGCTTGCTTGTTTCAGCTCCCTAGCCAGAGTTAGACTCCATTGCCCATAATTTCTTTTCAGTGTACCGCAGTAGATTTCAGATATTTCCACCTTATTTTTGCTTCTCTTTCATCCAATCTGTGTAGTTGCTAGAGGATGACCTTTATGTAAACAGATTTGGAGTGATAGCTGGCGCCGGTGTAGTGGAGTTGCAGAGGCGGACAAGGGGATCAAGTCTACTGCAAGCATGTCTGTAATGTCCTATAATGGAGGGGCCGTCATGGCCATGAAGGGGAAGAACTGTGTGGCCATCGCCGCAGACAAACGCTTCGGGATCCAGGCGCAGATGGTGACTACAGACTTCCAGAGGATCTTCCCCATGGGGGACCGGCTGTACATCGGCCTGGCCGGGCTCGCCACCGACGTCCAGACAGTTGCACAGCGCCTCAAGTTCCGGCTGAACCTGTATGAGCTGAAGGAGGGGCGGCAGATCAAGCCCTACACCCTCATGAGCATGGTGGCCAACCTGCTGTACGAGAGGCGGTTCGGCCCCTACTACACGGAGCCCGTCATCGCGGGGCTGGACCCCAAGACCTTCAAGCCCTTCATTTGCTCCCTGGACCTCATCGGCTGCCCCATGGTGACTGATGATTTTGTCGTGAGCGGCACATGCTCGGAGCAGATGTACGGGATGTGCGAGTCCCTGTGGGAGCCCAACATGGACCCGGAGCACCTGTTTGAGACCATCTCCCAAGCCATGCTGAACGCCGTGGACCGTGACGCGGTGTCTGGCATGGGCGTTGTTGTCCACGTCATTGAGAAGGACAAGATCACCACCAGGACCCTGAAGGCCCGGATGGTCTAGGACTGTTCTGGAACTTTTTTTTTCTTTTTCTTTTTTTAAATAAAGTAGCCGGGGCTGGTGAGATGGCTCAGTGGTCTAAAGCACCTACTTAGAACAAGCTTAGCAGAGCCCGGGGACCACGGTTCAATCCCCCAGCACCACATGCAAGCTGCCCCGCCCCCTGGTGGGCTGAGCTGGCCACACACACACACACACACACACACACACACAATTAATTTAAAAAATAAATAAATAAATAAATAAAGTAGCCTTCCATTCTTAAAAAAAAAAAAAAAAAAACAGATTTGGAGGATGCACCCCCCCCCTTACTTAAAGCCTTTTCATAAAGCTAGAGGTGTAAACTAGGATCAGCATATACGAAGCTCTAGATTCAATCCCTAGCACCCAAAACAAACCTTTCAGTGTCTTCCAGCATTGTCTGAAGTTCCAACCTGCTTCCCAACCTCAGACCCACTCTTTCATTCAGCCTCATAGTCTTTTTCTCCTTTTTTTTTTTTTTGGCGGAACCTGGGATTGAACTCAGGC